CCCTGTGCCACTCTGACAGCACGATATTTGCTTTGCAGGAAGAGATTCCAGCATCCCCTGCAGCTCTCTGGGTGCAGAGGTGGGGTCCTACATGGGCAGGGGGCGAAGGGAGCAGCAGAAGGGGCCAGGACAGGGACAGCAAGAGGGAACTGAATCCATTTCCACCCAGCTGCAATAGCAGGAGCGGGCGCTGGGTGTCCCCACCTACCCGTAGCCGGGTCCTTTGGATGCAGGGACAGCAGGGCTGGCTGGGTTTGGGGAGCAGAGAGGGCTCTGCTGATCTTACCTCCTCCAAATCATTCTCCTCCAGCATTCTCATCTCCAGATCCTCAGTCTCCTCCAGGAGCAGCAGCATCCCTAAGTCTCAGCCCCATTCCTGAGAGCACGTATGGGGTTTGGGGGGATCAGAGCATCGTGTGGGGACACACTGAGGCTGGTGAGTCCCAGCAGTGCCTGGATTCACATTCACACCTTGGCAGTGTAAATGTTAATTGAGTAACCTAATTAATGACCAGCGCACATGTCTCTCTGTGGGCTGACACCTGTCTCTCTAAGCCTGTGTTCTGTGGTTTTGTTCCCCTGCCACCATGGAAGGGGACACAGGTGCTGCTGTGGCTGGGATTCACATATCCTCATGGTCCAAGGCAAGGAGAACCTCAGCGTAGTCAATGAAACAACTCTCAAGCAGAGAGAAATCTGCTTTGTTGCATGAATCTCTTTGCAAAAGCTCCCCAAACCCTGGTCCCTGGGTCTTTGTCCTACAAGGGATGGAGCTCCTGGGGTGTCCCCAGCTTCTCACTGAGGGATCAGCCAGGTGGGTGCAAGGGTTGCGTGGGAGATGGTTGCACAGAGTGTATGGAAACTCACCTGAGAGGCTGCCAGTTTGGGCCAAACCCAAGCCAAAGTTCTGCCCTTCTGCTCCACAAACCTGTCCCACGAGGATGGAACTGGCTGGTCCTGCCCATGCAGAGCAGCATCTGCAGAGGTTTAAGTTGCATCTTCTCTACTCACACCTTACTGAGATGATTTTGGTTCCTCTTCATAAAGGACAAGGAAACCTCCCCGAGAGATCCCACCTTGTCCCCAGTGTACCAACAATGTGCTTGAAACAGCCTGCAACACGGGTTATTTTGGAAGATCATCCAGACGGAGGCTGATTATGGAAGACCCACCCATCCCATCTGCTTGAGGAAAGCACTGGGGAGACACGAGCACACCGAGGAACCCACCTCCAAGGAACTCTCCTGTCAGGTTGCTTTTATTTTGACACTCATGTTTTTGGTGCTTTGGGTGAAACAGAGGGGTTTCCACCCGTGGCACTGATGTCTGGGGGCTCTGGGGGGCCTCAGGCACCCAAGGGATGAGGTGAGTCCATGCTGGGACATGAGGACGTGGGGCTGGGGGTGCCCTGGGGTGCAGGGGGAGCCTTCAGGGTTCAGATCCCTCAGCCTTGAGTGCCAGAGGAACAAATCTGTCCCAGTGCTGATGGAGTCTCATCACTGAGCTGAGCGTGCCAGTGCTCAGCAATGCTTGGAGGTGGCAGCTCCTATCCCCAGCCTTGTCCCAGCACAATTAATTAGAAGGGCTGGGTCCTGGGAATGTGGCTATTAATGACCCTTGGGGAGGCAGCAAAACAGGAATATGAAAACCCATAGCGTTTTTCATCCGATTTGTCACCGTTTCCATTTTCCCTTCCTGAGCTGACCCCGACAGCAGCCCAGCTTCTGTACAAATACACAGACAGGAACCCAGTATCATCCCAATTTCTTTTGGGATTCCACTCGGTTTCCCAGCACAGGGGCTGTGTCCTGTCAGCTGCAGGTCTGGGCTCTGCCTCTATGAGTGCCCTAAGAGAAAAGTAGCAAAGCACAAACCCTGCAGTGCCATCAGGGACTGGTGCAGATGAGCTGCTGGGTTTCTGTGCTTTTTCTGCCTGAACACCTCACTGCTCTCAGCAACGTTGTCTGTGCCTCAGTTTCCCCACTGCAATAGGGCAACAGCTCCCATTTTGTTCTTCCTGAAGGGAAAAGTCCAAAAGGTGAGGGTTTATTTTTTCTCCCTTTGGACATTTCAGTGAGCAGCCTTCCCTGCACAGCCCTGAGATCTGCACCAGCAGCACCAAAAGCACTGTATTTTTTTTGCCCCATTTCATGCCCCTGCTGCATGGCGTTGCAGATGCTGCCACGAAGACCCGTCGTGCTCCCTACAAACCAAACATCTCACAGCAGAGATGTGGCCACCCCATGCAGCCCCGAGCACTGAAAACACACAGGGAGGAAAAATAAATAAATAAGTAAATAAATAAAAGAGAAAGGAGGAAAACCAAATCTGGGAAACCAGAATGGGTCTCAAAGTTTGCGTTCTCTCAGCGCATGTCTGAGTTTGTGCAACCAGAAAAGTCATTCTGAGCCTGGGCAAAAACTGTGCCTCCTGCATTACCTCCTGCATTACACCCTTCGTCTCCTCCTGCATCTCCTCCAGCATCTCCTGCATCCCCTCCTGCTTCACCTCCTGCATCCCTTCCAGCATCACCTCTTGCATTTCCTCCTGCATCCCCTCCTGCTACACCTCCATCACACCCTCCTGCATCCCCTCCAGAATCTCCTCCTGTGTAACCCTCTGCATCCCCTCCTGTTTCACCTCCTGCATCCCCTCCTTCATCTCCTCCAGCATCCTCTCCTGCTTCACCTCCTGCATCCTTTCCAGCATCTCCCCTTGCATTTCCTTCTGCATCCCCTCCTGCTTCACCTTCAGCATCTTCTCTTCCATCCTCTTCTGCATCTTCTCTTGCATCCTCTTCTGCTTCCCCTCCCACATCCCCTTCTGCCTCCTCCTGCCACCCCCACACTCCAAGGCTTTAATGCTCTCAATTTGCAAGATCCCAGCAGTGAAAGCAGTTGGAGCCAGAACCCTTAAGTTCCTGGGGCAGGAGGAGCCCTGAAGGGAAAGATCCCCCCCCAAAACCAGCAGATTTCTGCTGGAGCACTCAGGACGCTCACTTGGACTCACAGCACCGTCTTCCTGCATGAATACAGCTAAGTGCATCCCCACCCCCCTGCACCAACTCCACTGCCCCCGTCAGAGGGCAAATACAAAGGGAAAAAAATGCAAAGTAATGGGATGCACAGGATGGAAACAATTGCTCTAACTCCTGGCAAAGTTCTGCAGAATTAGCTGCCTGGTGCAGGAGCTGCATACACACAGAGGGGAGCAAAAAGCCCAGAACCCGTCACAGCTGCTTCCTTCCTCGTTTATCAATCTGACATGCTGAGTAACAGCTGCTCCCTGCCAAACCTCAGCAGGGCTCTGTGCATCCCAAACTCAGGCACCTCCTTGTATCCTAAGCCCAGACACCTCCAAACATCCCAAACCCAAGCACTGACACCAGGGATGCAGCTCAATCCTCAAGCTCTGAGCATCCCAAACTCTGGCATCTCTGAGCATCCCAAACTCAGGCACTTCCAAGCATCCCAAACCCAAGTACTTCAAAGCATCCCAAACCCAGGCACCTTGCATCCTCAACCCAGGCACCTCCAAGCATCCCAAACCCAAGAACTTCCAAGCATCCCAAGCACTTCCTTGCAATCCAAACCCAGTGCTTCTGAGCTTCCCAAACCCAAGCACCGTGGATGCAGCCCCATCCTCAGCCCTCCCCGGCTCAGCACACAGAAAGGAAAACCCCCATGGATTGAAATGCAGCCAACTCAGCCCCATACTGAACGTCAGCACTGTGCCACATCACACATTCATTTGGAATTGCCACGAGTGGCAGCCCTGCAGCTCTGCCCGCAGCTGCTCTGCAGGCACCGGTGTCTCATGAGTGATAGAACAAAAATGCTCGAGCAACCCAAATTGCTTTGGAAACCCACTACAGGGATGAAATACCCTGCCTTGCTCACAGGGAGGAATTAGGGCTGAGCTCCATGCACGAGTCCTGCAGAGCTGCTCTGCCTCCCCGCTGCCCCCCCCCTCCCCAGCAAAAGGAGTTTCTGCGCCCAACAAAACTTTGCACCTCCGGGAGCAATTGGAAATCCAACCCTATAATGGCACTGCCTGAGCCAGACGACTTTTGGAAACCACTCCATAGAAAGCAGACGCTACAAGGGATGCGGCTTTTGGTATATTTGCTCTAGGATATCATAGCAGGCACAGTTCTAAGCAAACACGGGCAGTTGCATGAGAGCCGGAGCTTTGGCTTTGTTCATTATGATGATATGCTGAGACAGCCGGGGTTGGGAGAGGGGTTTGAGGCCAAAGGAGCTGCCCCAGTGCCCTGGGAACATGCAGGCACCTGCGGGGTGATCCCTGCATAGCTGTGTCCTTTGGTGCCTGGGAGGAGGTTGGGGCTGGGAGAGCTCAGCAGTTCGTGAGGAGAGCGGAGCGAGAAATGAAAAGGGGAAAAAAGAGAAATCGAGCAAAAGTTCTTGCATTAGTCAAATAGAAATCTAATAGGAAAGAGCTGTACATGGTCAAAGTCGAGTCCGGGTTCCGGGAATGTCCAGGGCAGGTTCAGATATGGCTGCTGCTCCCCGGGATGTGCGCAGTTCACACTCGTGTCTGCAGTGCAAAGGAACTGGGATGGGGTGATGTTTGGGGACTGGCTCATCACCACGGTGTCCCCGTGATCGCCCCTGATCCCAGCACTTGCGTGGGGACAAGTGGACGGATCCAGAGATGGGATGGAGCCCCAAGGGATGATGCTGCCTGCTCAGACGCAGCCCAACGGAGCACTCACAGAATCCCTAGGATCAGTTCGTCCTCCAAAGCCGCACCAGGATGGGGATGGGGACCAGGAGGGTGCTGGGGATGGAGTCAGCTGAAGGGAGGACATCGTGATGCCATCAGAGCCCGGGCTGAGCAGGTCCGGAGCCCCCCAGGAGATGATGCTGCCCAGTGCGCGCTTTGGATCTCTGGAGCAGCACAGGATGGGGATCAGGAGGCAGCTGGGGATGGAGGCAGCTGGAAGGAGCATCTCGGGGTGCCACCAGAGCCCGGTGATGTCAGAGCCCGGGGGTGCCGACGGCGCTGGCACGGCGTGGGTCTGCATCCTGCTCGTAGCGGTAGTGGTAGCCCTCCATCTGATCACGGCAAGCTTCCCGCAGGTTGTGCAACCAACGCTTGATGCCGCGGCGGTTCAGGTAGAGCACCATGAGGAAGACGATGCCGATGAGGGCCAGAACGATGCCGAAGAAGACGTAAGAAGCCGTCTCCAGCTGTCCGGCCTCACCTCCCTCATCGGCCGAGCAACCCAACCCTTCGGGCCGCAACCTCAGCACCGCCGTCCCGCGCAACGACGGCGGTTTGGAGCACTGCAGGCTCCTCGCATCGGGCACGCGGGCGGCGGATGAGCGCAGCCAGGTGAGCAGCGGGCGCAGGGCGCAGTCGCACTGCAGCGGGTTGGACCCCAGCGACACCCGCAGCCCCCGCAGCCCCAGAGCCTCCAGGCTGAGCAGCTCGGTGGATGTCAAACGCTGCAGAGAGTTGTTGCGGAGATCCAACTCCTCCAGGCCGACGGGCAGCAGGGAGACCGGCAGTGCCCGCAGCCCGTTGCCCGCCAGCTCCAGGCGGCGCAGGCTGAGGTTGCGCAGGGCGAGGGCGAGCTGCTCTTCCAGCGGGGCGGCCAGCAGCGCCTGGTTCAGCTGCAGCGTGCGCAGCAGAGGGACGCCGGAGAAGGCGCCGGCCGCCACCGAACGCAAAGGGTTGTGGCTGAGGTCGAGGGTCCGCAGGGCCGGCAGCCCCTGCAGGGCCATGTCCTCGATGGTTTGGATGTTGTCGTGGCGCAAGCGGAGCAGGCGGAGGTCGGGCAGCGTGCGGGGGGCGAAGGCGGCGCGGTGCAGCACGCTCAGGTTGCTGCCGGAGATGCTCAGGTTGTGCACCGAGGTGGGCAGCTCCCGGGGGGGTTCGTCCAAGCTCTCGTAGCGGCACTGCACCAATTCCGGGGTGGCCACGCAGTAGCAGGCGGACGGGCAGCCCCCTGGGGGGGCGGCGGCGGGGGGCACGGCCCAGGGCAGCAACGCGAGCCCCAACCACGGTAACCCCAAGCAGGGCAGCCCCAAGCAGGGCAGCCCCAGCCGCGCCGCCCGCCGCGTCCTGCGGGCCATGCCCGGCGCTGGGGCATGCAGGGGCCGGGGGGGGGGGGGG